GATGGGAATTGAATTTCACGTTTTATCTGATCATCCTGAAATATTGCCTACATGTTGCCAGATATTTAGCAAAAGAATATAGCTATAACCCCAAACTCAGATTGAATTCGTCGTTGTCGACTATAGTTACCGGCCCAACACGAGGCTCGTTCTTGAACTTAAAATTTCCAGGTCTAAAACGATTAAACCAATAATTGACCGTGTTTATGCGAGCAGTGTTAGCCCCGTACACGTCGGCAATGTTTCGTGAGGAAGACTGGAATAAGTGTTTCCAACACTGGTTCAGGTGGATGGACATTTGTATAGAGAGGGATAGAAAGTATATTAAAAAAATATAATATAAATTGTAAGTATATTTTGTTTACTTTTTGCGTATCTCAATATTTATATAGTGACCTAAGTATTTACCAGGCGATTTGATAATAGTTCTTAAAGAAAATGTGTATGCATCCGATATACTTTGTTACTTCACTATATTCGCAAATAATCGCACACTGAAAAATACATTATACTCCACGCAGACGATAATTATTGCCAAAAGAGATTAGAACAGCCTTGGACAGCGGTGTGGTTGCGCATACCTCTCGATGTACGAGATAGTCTGATCTGAAGGTCGAAGATGATTTTTATACAATGCCGCTTGTATTTATGTGTACGTGTGTTTTAATTCTTCACGATTGCTACATTCGTTTGTGAGGAAAATTTAACTATTAATATTGAGTTTTTTTAATTGCATTTGAAATCTCAGTGTATGATAAAAGCTCACTGGGTAAATGATTCTCCTATAGGTTATGTCATTACGATCAATCGTACGGCTACACACGTGGGAGCGTTCAAGATTATGAGATTTTTTAACATTTACTCAAGATGTTATGCAACTACATCAAACAATAATGTTAACTAATTAATTACTAGCAATTCTTTTACAAGTTAATAATTCCCAAACATAAACATAAATTGTTTAAACCGTGTAAAAAAACTACAATGTATCCATTACCTTATGTATCGAATCAGATAAGTGTTTAAGGCATTCGCAACTTGTAGGTAAGTCATGGTCATTTCAAAAAATTCTTCATAAACAAAATTAATTCAACAGCAATTCACGTTGAATGTTGCGAATTTAAATATTCTTATCATGGCAAAGCAGATCACACGTACGACACGTTTAACAATGCGTGCGCATTGACAAGACATTTAGTTACTATTCTTTTGTTAAAACTATTTGCACTGAATGCAAAAGTGTAAGAACAGTAGTATTTTCAAGAAATCCAGATTTTCCTTAAGATTATCAGAATATATTCCCCTATTCGGAATAATTATTTTTGTCCATCTTTCTTTTACTGAAACGAAATGTTTTTGTAGTTCAGTTCAGTTTTATTGTACTTAATGCAGCCACTTAAACGGATCATGATAATAATAATAATCGTTTATTTTTCTCTCTCACACAGAATAGTTTCTGTTAATTGATGATTCAATACATGACGTAGACATATTGTCGATCAGGTTAACACAATAATACAAATATTAGACAAAACAAGACATCAAAAAAACTTATGCTACCTACTAACATACTCGTATCATGAGAAACAAGTCAGATATTGGAACTTATTAAAATTATCAGTTTCGTTGTTCTTATTCAGGTCATCATTTTTTTTTGCATTAACTGTATAATCAAAAAATGAATAGTCACAGTTTGTTACTTATAAACTTCTACACCATTAAAGTTGTGCCTGGTCTTCTTTAACCAAATTTTAAGTGAACATTTGCGACCTTCGGCTTATTGCAACAAATCGGATCGTGGCAATATAAGCTTAAAAAATAATCTGTTCAAGGCCTCCGCGAGACATTGAACTATGAAGCTGATGACCGAACGCAATCAAAAATGATTGGCAAAGAGACACTATTAAGCAACAAGTTCAATGAATTAAACGAAAGTCTTAAGAAATATTTAAAATATTTAACTTGAGTCATTTATATTTACAAGTTTAATACGCCATCTCTTTGTTGTTTTGGTGACAAACTTAAGTAGCGTGTGTAGTCATAATATTTACGTCTAGGATTCTACCCAAAGGTGAATTTATAATATTTTAGTGGTTGTTAGAGTGTTTTCATTCCTTAAATTTGCGTCGTGTTAGTATGGTGTGCAATTTCAGTGCAACCAACCAATCAGACTTTTTAATTTTAGTTTATTCAATAATCTTTCATTTGCGTCAGTAAAGTGTAGAAATGTATTAAAATTTTGAATTTTGTTGTCTTTTTTATAAGAACGTCAGATTACTTAATAAGAAACAATTGACATTGGAATTTGAAAATCAGACGTGATAAAGCAATGTTTACGCTTATAACGTTTGTGGTTATTATTACACAGAAACATTGTGGGTTGACCCGTCTTTTCTAACTTTCTTCGCTTTCTTACCACACCGCGTGTGCGTGATAGATCACGAGGTAAGGAATTCTTTACTCTATGACATACATACAGGTCTAACCAGGGTCAACTTGTGGTAACGATAGTCTCAATATTCGTTAGTGCAGGTTCAAACTAAAAAATGGAGTGGAAATCTGTTGTTTGTCTAGTGACAGCCAAATCATAAAGCATAGCTAACTTTAAAGTGGTTCTTGATAGTGCTTTACAAGTAGATAATGCAATTACTTCTTTGCCGCAAGTTAGTTAGTTTTAATTATGTTGGTCGCCAGATTTCAAATAATTATTCTCCAAAGTATGTAAATAAGGTTTCACTAGCGCTTACTATATAATATAAAATTCTATTAACTAAAGATTATTATCATTTATGTATTGTAATTTTTTTTTTCTTATACTAATGTACATGAAAATGGCACACTTTTTTTAAGAAAGAAATATGAGAAACACGAGTTGTTTTTTCTTAGTGATTTTAAAGCCGTATTAGAAACAAAACTAGATATGTTAGGAGAATTAATGCTATACACACACTAGTGGTGTTCTAGTTACATTAAAAAAGTTGAAAGGACTTCTTTTAGTACAGTAGTAGCTTTGGCACACTTTACCTCCCTAGGTAAAAAAAAACTAATAAATAATAGTTTACTCTCTATCTATATATATTATGTTATATTTGTCACAAAATCTCTCTTTAGTTTCTGTGCATATACCATTTTTTAGATCTGCATCGCCCAAGGTCGACTGGTAGAAATGCCTACGGCACCAAGTCCACCTTTGTCACGTTTATAAGTGCATAAAGTATAAATAAAAATAAAAAACACTATAAAGGGAATGATATGCGTAGTATGACCGCTGCAAACCAACTTTATTATCTGGTTTGCGGTGGTCAAACCGTGAAAATGTGTCAATTAAAAAACTGTGTAATAGCGGACATTTTCATACAATAGTACATTAGGAGATTTTATACGAATATTGCGATGTGCGGTTGTGATTAAAATAGTGTCATGATATTTACCTGAAAATGAGTACAGCAGAGTTAATCATGAGAGATTAGTATACGATAACTCGAATGATGTCGTGACACTTATTACTTAAACACGAAAGGAACTTCAAGCAGTCACATTTAATGGAACATATTTGTATAAACATGTCTATTCATTAACTTAATGTTATACAAAAATTCTACGTTTTGTTACGGGTATTGGAGCCAATTATGCAGGGTATATTCCCAGACAATCATATGTATTAGTATAGTTCATTATGTATGTTACCTATTAATATTAGAGAGAATGGAACAAAACAATAAAACGGTGATGTACAATAAAACGGTTGTGATTAAAATAGTACCATGCTATTTACGTAAGTAAATACTGAAAATGAGTACAGTAGAGTTACTCATGAAAGATCAGTATACGATAACTCGAATGTTGTCGTGAAACTTTTTACTTAAACACAAAAGGAACTTCAAGCAGTCACATTTAATGGAACATATTTATATAAAGATGTCTATTCATTAACTTAATGTTAAACAAATGTTTTTTTTAGGGGAATTGGAGCCAATTTTGCAGGGTATATTCTTGACAATCATATGTATTAGTATTGTTACTTACTAATATTAGAGCGAATGGAACAAAATAATAAAAATAAAACGGTGATGTTTTTATAAATAGAAACTTGAACTTATATTTAATTCTAAGTATATTGATTCCTTGTGACACAAAATAATATGTATTTAATAAATATCCTTTGCCCATGTACTTTACAAAACTTTATTAGTTTGGAAAAATGTATAAACCCTAGCCTCGGACAAACAAAACGGTCGCCTAATGGCTTGCGCCAGAGGTTGTGGGTTCGATTCCACCCAGGATAAATAAATGTGTGATCAGGACGATTATTTTTTGTTTGGATGTTATTTATCAGAAATATGTATAACAATAATATAATATTCTAGCACATTCACACAACGCCACCTAGTTCCAAACTAAGCAGAGCTTGTACTATGGCTACTAGACAACTGATATATATTCATATGTATATACTTTTTTTTGTAAATACATACATATTATACCCTGACCAAAAATACCCAGACCAAATCAAACATTAAATATTCATGCAGACAAATGTTTGATTTGAGCGGGAATCGACCCCGCGGCCTTTGAAATAGCAGTCCGTTACACAAACGACTACGCCAAAGTCGTCATGTCGTCATGTATGTATTTAGAAATACATATGTATGTTTATCGGCAGTCTGATTAACATAGCACAGGTTCTGACTAAATTGGGATTCGACGGCCGAGTGTGAGATGTGTAAAGTTATTATTATTTTATATTTACACGATATAATTATTCACCAACTCGCTTCACTAAAGCCACTCATTTCAGTTATGTTAATCAATGTGGTTTAATCTGAGCTCCCGCCCATCTGAGATGAAAACATTATCATTGCATCATATACATACATAGATATCTACACTTTTACTTAAACCGCTTTACTTAAATCAACCATCTATAAAATATTATTTTTTTCTTACGTTAAAAGAATGAATTTCTTCTAATTAAAAAAAAAGAAGAAAAATGGTCTTACCTGTTTTCTCCATAAACGTGATAGTTGACGGCTCGCGCCATAAGTATGGCTACCATCGGCCTGAGCGCCTTCCCCTGTCCGTCAAAGTAATATGTGGCTATGGTGTTCAGTTCTGGTTGATTTGTGTTTCGCTCCAGCTCCTGTCGGTCAGAGAGGCTACAGTCGAATTGGGATCTACTTTCAATTTATACAATAAAATAAAAGACGGAATAAACAAAGGCGTATATTTATGTAACCCAAACATGTAAAAGGATAGGAACAAACAATTAACAAGGTCTATAATCGCTACATTACATGTGATGTGTATAGAGTTGTCGAAAACCGTACGAAAAACTATTCGGTACTTTTGGTATTTTTCGCGTCCAGTAACACAAGCGGAAAGACAGAGAAAAGCGAGAACATAATTTTAACATGTATGTGTAATATTAATTTTATAATATGTATGAATAGTATGGAGGTAGATGGTTAAAACTTCAAAAGCTATTTCAGAAAAAAAATAAGAAACTATCTCATATGATTTGGAATAGGTGGAGAAGCGGTTATTAAATACAGCTCATAGATAGCAACCATTGTCTTTATTCTTAATAGAGACTACAAATGTTTCAGCAAGTAAACACGTAATAATGATAAAATATGTAAAGATAAAATAGATTTGAAGTTCGTTATTCTGATTCAGGCGTCTATCAAATAAGTTAATCGATTAAGAGTTATAACATAACACTTAATAATGCATGCAAGTAGACGATTAACTCGAAAATTCGCACATATAACATATTATAAATATTAAGATAAAATGTTACATAAACCATACTTTCATGTTACTAAGCATATTAGATTTCAAGAAATCGTATAATTTCACTACACGGATTAATGAGTCATCTAATAAAATGTGATATTTTCTCTTTTAACAAGTTTTCTAAGCGGTAGTACCTACATGTATAGCGGTGAGCTAAATTTGTGTTACATTAAAATTTACAAAACAGATATGTAGAACTACGTGTGCTACGCCATCGTAGATGCTGCTACGAATTGCGCAAGTAACCTGTCGCCTATAGATAGATATTCTAATTTTGTAGCACTTTTGTACATTTAAATGGAATTTAATCGACGTTAAGTTGTAAAGTGTAATTGCATTAATGATGTTAAGAGCAATACATATTAATTGCTCATTGTATCTGTTGTCATTGGTATGTAAATTAGTTTTAATAATATGGAATATTTATGCATTTGTCAACGAAGTGCCTACATGGACCTTGCGTCTCCTTTATCAAATGCTTTGATTAAAAATAAACTAGCCGTGCCTAGTAGATTCAACACCGTTTATAGTCGTTGCTCCTCACCTAAGGGTCGTAGCGTGATGTTTCATAGCCTTATAATCTTCTATTTAATATGAAAATATTTTTAAATCCACCACACTTCTAGAGGTTAGTGCTTTCAACAAACAAATAATCAGAAATATTTCGGCCTTATTTTAATAATTATTATAGCATAGATATAGATACAGATAGTAAAAATAAAAAGGTTGTGCAATGTAATTTTATAAACCGTTATTCTTGTGTAATAGTATAGGCACCTACTTTCTGTTACCTACATTTGGATATACCTCTTGAAGTGTAAAAAGGTGCATTCGGCTGCACATAAATCATAATAAATTATGACAAGAGGTGGAATTTATTTAGGCTACAATAGCCCAATGTGAAGAGTTCATAATCTTTAGTAAAAAATTGCTTTTAGAAATGCTATTTTTTAACTAAGCTCATTGTAGGTAGCCACCTACTACCGTTATACTAACGACAATATATAACAATCGACAAAATAATACAAAATTTTGCAATTTTACGAAAGAGATAATTTGCAACTACCTGAAGGACTCAGTTGGTGTTTTCAGCTAGTCGGTGTGGTAACCACCATCGCCTGCAAATTGACGCAAGCTTGACGCAAGTGTCCTCTTGCGGTGGCGGACAATGTAAATTTCGGCATTGCAATTCAATTACGATTGCTGTACATCAATTTTATTGTTTGCCTACGAACACATTAAACGAGTATTAAAATTGAAATTGAGAAAAATACAATTTTACAAATATACATAATTTGTGATACGGTAATTGATTGTTAAGTCAAACCAGGTGTTCATTACACATAATTAAATATTAAACGGCTGTATTAAATACAAAACAGTAGCCAGGTACTTAGTAGACTTTCTGTACCATAGTACAAAATCATTATACATCTGTCAAGATGTATACTGGTCAGCTGATTCTCCTTGTAAAAATATTTTTGGTTTGGTCCATTACTAACATAAAACCTTAAGTCAAACGTTGTTTATACTCAAAGCATTTAAACGAATATTGTACTTAACTTCCAGTCGTGTCTATGTATGTACACATTCAAATCATCACGCTGTCGCGTTGCGAAATCCGAGGTCGGTACTTACTAATATTCACTGACGATACGGCTATGGTTAGCACCATCGCACACCTACTTAATACCTAAGCAGCAAAGGTTCGCTCTCTCTAACATTAATTTATTACCATTATTGCGAGGAGCTCAATCATATGGAAGCTATGAACCAATCAACGGAAACTATGAACCAATGAATGAAAACTATGGACGAGTTAACAAATCTGCACTGTCGAACACATTTTTTTAGTGAACATAGGACTTAGTATTTAAAAAGGAATTTGTATACAATGTTATAATTTCCTTATTTTTTCACGTGGAAACTCCTGGGTACGGGACATCTCTTCCCCACAGCTGGGTGAAGTGAAGGGGAAGTAACATGTCGGACTCCAAACGACTAAAACCATACCAAGGAAGCCACCGAGAATTCCTGTAGATTTAAGCCACCTAAGAAAGTACTCCATTTTGTGGTCCACAAAGTGGAGTACGGGAACCGAAACAAAAGGGGCGCGCGGAGCATATCGCACCACCGTCTCTGTTACCCTTTCAAAGTAGGCCTTTTGAAAGGGTAACAGTCAGCCCGAACCGATGCCCAGGCCCCAGCGGTCGGAGATAGTTTTGCGCTCTCCGGCGCCGGATACGTCTACTGCGGGACGGGAGAAGGCTTGCCCTCTCCCGTTCCCTTTCCATCGTCTCTTAATGATATCATTATGGTATTTATTACTATTCTAAGCTATTCTTCATGTTAAATTGGAGATGAATGTGAAGTTTCCGGTTGTTGTAAAAGTAAAATAAGATATATGTATGTCTTCAGAATACAGATTTCAATAAACTTAAGTTCGAATTGACGTAGAGGAACATTAGCTGAGAAAGGTTTGGTATGTGACATACATTCATGAAATAGCTAGGTGCGCCAAATAAAATGAAAAGCAGTTTTGAATATAATAAAATAGACATAAACTTTATGGTACATATCCACAACCACATTTATGGTATACTATATGACAAGTCAACGGATTCCACAACTATAGCATTCTAAAGCGAATATCACTAATAGGGGTTATGTCAGTGGACCAGATGACTCTTCCTATTTTTATGTCAAATAAAATGTAAACAAACAGAAGATTATTATAAATAAGTCTTAGGTGCAAGTACAACGTAAAATGAGTTTAAAAAAAATATCGATCACATTTTAAGTACTCTTAAGCTTAGTCCTTCTATTCAAAAGTAATTCAAATCACTGTAGTCCAAATACAAATTCGTAGCCTAATTAACCTTCAATATAACAATATAGAATGGAATAGAAATTACAAGACTATTTAAATACGGGAAACGGCATTAACAGTGACCGAACCGAACTAAGTGGAAGAGAGTTTAAATAGTAATCTCCCGGAAAGTAATTAAAATTTGCCTGTAAAACTTTTAGATACGACTTAATTTATGTCTATACCGTATATCAATCTATTGTAAAATAATATAATTAAAACTAATATATTACGGACGGATAATGGTGGATTGGTGACTGATTAAGAATACAAATTGTCACCACCCCAATTCATCCCGTGGGTGTCGTAAGAGCCGACTAAGGGAGCAAACTAAGCAGGACAACAGCACTGCAAAGAGAAGGAAAACCTGAAACAAACCCTATACCAACCCGTCTGGCCAGCGTGGTATAGTAGGCCAAAACCTCCTTTCTAAGGAGAGGCCTATGTCCAGCAGTGGACTAGTATAGGCTGTTGATGATTAATAATTACTTGTGACAAATGTTTTACAAGTTATCCTTTCTGGATATCGTTAGTATAAAAAAAACAGTGTCATGGCAAAAAAAAACGATTATCGTTAAAATCAACAGATAGTGTAGCAGATGGTATTTTCGTAGTTCATCAGCTTGTTGTTGTTGTCACTTGTTATCAGCTAATTGAACATTCCGTTTCACATTTGATAAATTAAGTAAATCGGTTCCTATCAAGGATCCTAAGAGTAAAAAATCGATAAAAACCTGATCGATCCTCGTTAAAGGATCTACGGGAATTACTTAGTTATAATTTCAAAACCAACTAATTTTAATTGAGCAAGTCAAGAGTTACTATAGCGGAAATAAAATAATGAGAATAGTTCTTCTCAGTTGTTTTTGCACACTGAGTGGAAAACAAGGTCAATGTTGAAGTTTAGCGTTCCACGCCGCACTTTCCATTTGCTACTCCATTGAGACAGGTTTTGATTACGAAGATGGAGATAATTATTTTCTTACTTGTAAATGTGTAAGTGCAAACGATTAGTTATGTTATTTTTATTGACACTCATACTTATAACAAAGGCTTTTATCAATATTATATTAGGTGAAGCGAATATAAAATAGATTTGTGCTGTGACTTACTATGAAACATAACACCAGCATACTAAAAATATTTATCTGCTACTAAAAATTATACCTTTGAATTTGTATTAAATAAGAGCTAATCAAGAAGCGTGACGATGCGTTATTTTTTAGGTTTCGCATAACAGACGCTTAGACAGAATATATAAATTGTTGTTTTTTTTAACACTTGCTGGCAATTCTTGCAAATCAATGATATTTTAGAACCTCTGTTATTTTTAACAGAAAGAGTCAGCGAACAAACAGCACTATTGTTGCCTGATTATAGTACTTGAGAGGATAAACACTTTTAACTTCGGCTTTATTATCATCTATAACACACAATGTAGAAAGCAGACCTATTACCTATTGTTGATATTTTGTACAAAAGTATTAAAGGCCAAGAAAGGAACTTAAGTTAACTGTATGTATACAAAATTCACGCAAATCCGTTGAACTGCTTCAGATTTAACGAGTAACAACTATCTATTTGCACAAGTTAACCGTATATATACAAAATTCACCCAAATCCGTCTATCCGTCAATCCATCGAACAAAGTCTGTAAATATTTACCGTACCTTCACTCTTTAATATTCCATAATCGACTAGTTAGCACATAAAATCAATAAATAAAATAAAAACACTACTTACACTAAGACTTTGAAATTGCATGATCTGTTAAGCGTCCGGTTTACTCAGGTACATATTGTATAACGCAAATTTAATAAAGGTCAAGTCAAGTAAAAATAACTTATTAAATACACCTTTTCAATCGGAACTTACAGGTAAAGATGCATTTAAAACTAGAAATCAACTGATATGGGTAACTGAGAAGCAAAGGAAATGATCGTGTAGAAATACTCGTACAAGACAAGTCAATACAGCATTCACATAAAGGCCTAGTTTTAGACAAGTTTTCCAAACAGAAAGTAGGCAAACGATCACTGGTATCACAAATAGCACAGATATACGGTAAGACTGTTGTTAATAAGCCTACATATCTATATCCTTTTTTGTACCCAATTAATAATAATCAAATAATATAATCCGATTTCAACTGTGCAACACAATTTCTGCAATTCCTTTTAAATATTAATTAAGGCCTTGTTTGGACAACAATAATTCTGCCAACACAGAGGTAAAATACCAAAGAAAGAAAAGAAATTCAAAACCATCAGTAAAAATATTAGTTTGTGTGTGTGCGTTCAAGTGTACATGAGTAATATTACTTATGTAGTATACCACATAGCCTTATTTTTTTTATATTTACAACTTAATAGTTAACAAAAACCATAACGCAACATAGACGATCACATTTAAAAATGTTTCAAAATCAAATAATGTAGAGTTAACACGGCAATAAATTTTAGTGACCTTGGACGAGTAACAATCGCCTACAAAATTCCAAAAAATCGCAACATCGACGTCATCTCAACGATAGAACGCCCACTGCTGCAAATAGACTTCACCGCACTTACTTAAGCAATTACTTTTAACTACGTAAGTTCATGTTTTACTTTAACTTATAATAAACAACCCACATAGATAGATAATAATAGGATAAGCTGTTAGGTATATAAAATTAGGGCAACGAGGAAGGCAGGGCCTCTCCCTAGGTGGGGGAGGCACTGCCGCCTACGGCCAATTCGGCCGAGGAGGTAGGGGCAGCTCTCTCGAGTTTCGTCGAGTTTTTCGCGTGTCCCTCTGATTAGCGGGGGCAACAGTGGAGAGCAAGCGTGGGGGCGGACGGGTTCTCCACCGCTGTCTTTGTCCAGAGGTGGTAGACATTGGCCTGATGTAGACCACCGTCCGGCCAAGTCATAAGCCTGCCTGCCAACAGTCAGCAACGTCGGCTCTTCGAGGGCTACGAGGAAGACAACCTCTAAAAAAATCATGGGGCGGATGCAGTCTGGTGAAAACCCTGTCCGGCCCCGGACCCGCGAGGACATAAACCTCTATAAAAAATCCAAAGCTCACGCTCTGACTTCTGGCAAGGGGCTGAATCGTTGGAGGAATTCCACTTCCGAGGACGTCACGTCAGAGGGCATTAGACTCAAAATTATTAATTTATTTACACATCATGCACATTTGGTGCATTGGTGGACTTAATGCCTAAGGCATTATCTACCAGTCAACCATTGGGTGATGCAGAGAAAACAGGAAGTAGGTGCATTTTAGTTACAGTTGATTTAGACATTTTATATTACATGTATACTTTGTACAAAATCATATAATATATACACATATACAAATCTGTCATATACTACACATATACATATTAATATTACACATAAGTACATACCTTATAATACATAAATACTGTATAAAAGTATATGATTACTTACATATACACGCAAGTAGATACTGATAACAATTTTGTATTAAAATAAAAAGATATCATGAGCAATTTGATTCTGCCAGTTGTTTGACCAGATACTGCTTTACTTTTAATTTAAAGGAAAAAGTATTGGAAGGGTTCCTGATTTAGAGTGGAAGCGCATTCCAAAGAAGAACGGACTGAACGAAAAAGGATGAGCCAACAAACTCAGACGTGTGGGACGGACAACGAAGAAGAAGGTTATTGGAGGACCGAAGGTTTCTATCGTGATTACTACATAGGAGTTGGAAATTGGAAGCTAGATACGTTGGCGAAGATGGGTTATTAAGAATATTAAATAGGATAGTGAGAGCGCCTAATTTACGACGTAGACGAATGGGTAACCAGTTAAGCTGCGAACGGAAAGTTGACACATGATCATATTTACGGAGGTCAAAGATGTATCGAATGCAGTTATTAAGAAGACGGTCTAGCTTATCGAGAAGATCTGCATTCAGGTCATAACAGCACAAGTCACCATAGTCGATTATTGGGAAGATAAGTGTTTGCACAAACATGGTTTTGGTTTTTGCGGGTAGAAAATTTTCCAGGCGATATAGCGCTCGAAGAGCACCAGTAGCCCTCAGGCACAGATTTGCAATTTGATCACGCCAATTGCAATTATGACTTGCAATTATGACATAAGCAAGAAAAAAGTATTGCCAACCCAGGAAATTCCGGACGCACTGCCTCAGAAAGAAGCAGTGCTAGCAACCCAATGGTGTCAGCTGCAGAGCAGCACCAGCGGGATACTCAAAAGCGCAAAAGGCACTGCCAGCCCCACCCAGGACAGAATAGCCCCATTGAGTCGGCCTCTAGTGACCAGGCCGCATCACCCAAAGTGTCTCATAACAAATCCGGGACAAAATTTTGTAACGATGAATTGAAAGTCAGTAGAATCACATTCACAGAGGAAGTAACACACAAACGAGTAACTCTAAGGCGAACTAACGGTTGTAATGATAACCGGGGGGAGACAGACAAACCATGATCATTACGCAATTTATGTCAAATTTAATTGTATGATGGACCTATTTCTCCTTGAGTCCTGCTACAACAATTTTTAAATAGGCACATTATAACAAAAACTCTATACCAAACAAAGGCCCATTCCGAATCACAGAAGTAACAACTAGACCAAATACACTCCAAACTTATAACATTCAGATTGATAGGGGAAGTAAAAGGGTTGAGGGTTATGGCGCACGGCGCCCCGCCTATGTACATTCGTTGATTAATTGATGTTTTTCATATCTGAACTCTTTATTGCATACCAAATACAATACAAGCAGAAGTTAAACGCGGTTTATTATAGCTAGTGGAATTTTCGACCTTAACGCACTTATTACAGCAATATATTTATAATTAACACTCCAATTACTAATTTTCTTTCAATTCTAAAAGAACAAAACTGTCGTTTAAGAGGTTGCAAAACTGTAAGTAATACTATAATAATAATACCAATGCTAAAATAATTGTATATTTAACTTGTCATGAATGTAATTTCAAAGAGTTCTTTACTTTCAATACAAGCGTCTTTCGCTTGTGTATGTTATTTAAAGACGTTTGTTATAATTCAGTGTGTGTAAATAAGAACATTTTACAGTGCACAAAATAATTTGAAAAGAAATTATTTTTCGATTTTAAGAAATTTTTTGTGAATAACTCTGTAGATGTAGGTGTACTGACATTAAATTGCAATGTTTTGCAATCTCGTTGTGAAAAGTTCAGTTGCCCTTCGTGAGTGAGCGCAATCGGGTAATATCAAACAAATTAACACAAATCACAATAGGAAGGATGTGGTTAAGTTACATATCTAGTTATGTCATTTAAAGCCCCCACCTTGAAATCTACACAATATAAACCACATACATTACATTTTCCGATGACTTATTAATTGGCACTATTTCTATAACAGTCACACTTTTGTATGTTTGTATATGTAAGTATGTAATACAATACAGAAAGTACGACTTCGTAAAATTACAGATGAAATACACAAATTAACTTTACGTATGACCCTGCATTAATTGAGTGTTGCAAACAGTTTGTAGTAGAGCCCTGCTCTCGCCAGTTCTTACTCGCTCTAAATACAATCGTTTAAAATGCTGTGGAATCCAAGTAACAGTCAAATTAAACGCGTAATTCGTAGTACGGTTAACAGTGTTGTGTACTATAGATCTCAATTACCGCCGATGCGCGAATTACACAAGCCGAGCTGACCAGCGTGCTAACACGTCGTGACTTTGACACAATTGTTGATCAATGGACACTGTATCGACGAATAGGCTCGTAAACATTCCTTTATATAAATGATAATACAATGACTGACGCTTTTATAGATCTTCCAAAACCCTGAACCTTAAATATACAAAAAACCTTCAAATCAAATATATATATTTGTGTGTTATATTTAATTAGTCTAAGTGCAAACGGTCATTAAACTATCTAAACAGATTAAGTAAAAAAGTGTTTTGTCTTACCGATCTAATATCTTCATATATCCCGTTCAGATCGTCTTCAAGTAAGCGGTAAGGATCGACTATTTGTGTGCCATAGTCTGGCAGTGAGCCAGTACTTGTGCTTTGGAGACTGGAGGCTAGGCGACGGAGCAGTCCGCTGGTAGCAGCAGGACCGATTCCACCTGTTCCGCATGATGGCCCACATGTAGTCACTCTCTGTAAAAGAAACAGGTATGGATAGAGATATTATAGTGTCACAAAATACTGTTTTGAAATTAGTACCAGCCTGGTTTGACAGACAAGTGGTAGATCCGTTTTGTAGCATCGGGATATACTAATTCCTTCTTCCCCGTAAGAATCTCTATTTGCTCTTCATGAAGTTAATTAGGTAGATAAGTATACTTTTATCCACATTACTACTTACGAGTACTACTCTTTTGATATCACACACTACTACTTTTGATATCACAATGGGGTGAACGTAATCGCTTAACTTTTGCACCCAACAAAACCTTCCAGCTACTTTTAAAAGGTAACCTCAAATCACCGCCGAGCATTAGATTTGACAATGTTACTGTAAAAAATAAAACCACAGTGTGTTATCTAGGATTAGTTTTAGAAAGAAACTTTTCATTTATCGAACATATTAAAATAGTTAATGAAAAGTCTAAAAAGAGTTTCTGTGCATTGACAAGGATATCAACTGCGACATGGGGTCTATCATTCAATACATTAAAGATCATATACGGAGCTACTTATTTAGGTTCTATGTGCTATGGTGCACCTGTATGGGCCGATAGGACGACCATAGGCGCTGTCCGTCGCAAACTGTTACAAGGCCAACGACTTGCACTGATATTCTTGTGTAAGGCATATAGGACGGTTAGCACTGAGGCTTTGCCGGTGTTGGCGGGTGTGCTTCCGGTCGATCTCGAGGTGCAGAGACGTGCAGCCATGTACTATTCAAGACAACAAAACATGGAATGCGATTTTTTGGGCGCGCGAGATCGCGGTAAAATTACAAGATTGCTTCAACAGCAGCCCGATGTCTATAACGACCTCATAGACGAATGGCAACAACGCTGGGATGAATCATCCAAGGGGCGCCATCTTTACCAATTCTTTCCATCTGTTCGCGAACGGTTGTCGAGGATATGGCTTGAGGTGGATCACTGTGTCGCTCAATTTCTTACGGGTCATGGTAACTTTAAGAGCAAGCTTTATTCATTTAAATTAGTCGAGTCACCATTGTGTCAATGCTCAACACCTAACTCTCACTATGAACAGTCTGCTCATCATATCCTCTGGGAATGTAGTCTTTGGTATAATGAACGTAATATAATGCTGAATAGCTTGCAGGTGACATCTGGGGCGGTATACTATGGGGATCTTGTGTCAACTAGGGTGAATTTCCGTGCGTTTAGGCGATTCTGCCATACATATTATAGAAATCAAACATAGCTCACGTAGGACCCGTAATATTTGTGGCCGTGGTGCTTCCCTGTTTAAAAGGGTGTATGCCCATTTTACTTCATTTTGTCTCCCGCTTTGCTAAGGAGGGAAGTGGATTTTCTGTATTTCCAACTCCTCCAATTTTCTTCTGATTAATTTCGTTGCGGGTTCCAAGACAGTTTAATTCCTTCCTGGGACTTCCCGAGTGAAAATATAAAAACAAACCAGAAATATAAAATACTATCTGACAAAGCATTAGAACTAATGAAAGAACGAAAAGAATTACAAAACAAACCAAAATTAAACAAGAACGACAAAGAAAAACTGAGAATGCTCTACAAAACTACAAACAAGGAAATAAAGAGATGTTACGATGAATACAGAGTTAATACTATAAAGAGACACATTGACAAGTCAAGATCAGCAAAAAAGGCGAATAAAGAATTAAACAAAACAAAGAACTGGATCACATGTCTTCATTCGTATTCGAAGAAAGCTACTACCCGGATGGATATCATAAATGTTGCTACAGATTTTTATGCGAACCTCTACAGCCAGTCTAATCGTATACATCACAGGAAAATTATCCACCGCATCACGAATACATCCCCAACTCCCGAATTTACTGGATATGAAATCTTAATTCAAATTACAAAGCTCAAGTCTGAAAAAAGCACAGGTCAAGATGGAATCTTAAACGAATATATTAAAATTGCAAGAACCCTGTTATTGAAACCCATAACTATATTATTTAATAAAATATTAGACGAGGAAGCCGTGCCACATTCATGGACGGAATCAGAAATAATCTTGATATATAAAAAAGGAGACCCAATGGATATAGGAAACTATCGTCCAATAAGCCTAATGTCTTGCCTCTATAAACTGTTTGCCTCCTGTCTGCTTGCAAGAATATCCGCGGAGATCGACGCCCATCAGCCGATAGTACAAGCCGGTTTCAGATCAGGCTTTAGCACACATGACCACATTCAAGTTCTAGACCAGGTAATCGAAAAATATGAAGAATTCCGCAGACCTCTATATGTAGCGTTCATTGACTACAAAAAGGCTTTTGACACTATATTGCACGATAGCATCTGGCAAGCTTTAGAGTCAATAAACATTGAAGATAAGTACATAAACATTTTGAAAAACTTATATGTGAAAAGTACAAGTAGAATAAAACTAGACAGAATGGGCACGAGAATTAATATAAACAGAGGCGTGAGACAGGGCGACCCGCTCTCTCCAAAACTATTCATAGCTGTACTACAACATCTAATGAAAAACCTACAATGGTCTAGGAAGGGATTAAACATAAACGGCGAATACCTAAGCCATCTCCGCTTCGCTGACGATATAATTTTACTCTCCGAGAGCTCTGCACAACTGAATAATATGATTAGCGATCTACACGGAGCCAGCATCATGGTCGGTCTTGAAATGAATCTTGCTAAAACGAAAATAATGACTAATCACCACACCGCATCCATCTTCGTAAATAACATCCCTCTAGAGTTTGTAGAGAGTTACGTTTACTTGGGCAAACAAATTTCTTTTAGAAAAGATAGAAACAGGGAGGAAATAGATCGCAGAATATCAATAACATGGAAGAAATACTGGGCACACAAAGAAATACTCAAATCACATCTCAAACCGCCAATAAAGAAAATAGTTATGGATTCAGTGATTTTACCATGTCTTACCTACGGTTCTCAAACTTGGACTTTCGACCAACAAACCAGAAGCAAAATACAAACTACACAAAGAAGAATGGAAAGAAGCTTATTAGGTGTAAAATTAAAGGACAAGATTAAAAATAAGCACATTCGCAACAAAACCAAAGTAACCGACGCTTTAATTTTCTCGCTGAAAATGAAATGGAGATGGGCAGGACACGTAGCCCGCTACGATGACGATAGGTGGACCTTTAGAGTGGTGAACTGGCAAGGCCCTACAGGTCGTAGGGTTAGAGGCCGCCCATGCACTAGATGGACAGATGAACTGGTAAAGGTAGCAGGAGAAAATTGGATACACTTGGCTAGACACAAAGAAAGATGGAAATCCTTGGAGGAGGCTTTTACCCGTAGGGGGTCCATAACAGCCAAGACAAAATAATAACAATAGACAAATTAATTTAATGTAATTGAAATTATTTTAAAAGAATTATATTTATTAATCAGAATGTATGGTAATAGGCTAAATGGAATTAAATAAAGCTTTATTATTATTATTATTACTTCCCGAGTGTCATAACTCGGTGTGTTCGTGGGTCACTGCTGTGGATCCTGGTGTACAGGAGTTGCAGCGGTGGGCGTGTGGGTGGGATTAGTCCCAATACTACTTACGAGTACTACTTTTTTACGAGTATTTCGAAATAAAGGATTCAACAACCAAAAAAGTGTGTGCCTTTGTATCGTCTAGGTTGTGTAAAAACGATAGAGACTACTTTTATTATCTTCCACTCAAGACAGACAAGACAATAAAACTGACGACTATCATATTACAGATGATGATTTTATTACCTAGCAGTCTAAACCGTCAAGTAATAAAAGTTATGTGTGATTTCATTACACACATTCCAATGATATTTATCACCAGTTTGTGAGTATGTCTGTGTACATACGTTTTATGTGCGGGTAAGCGTCCTAAATGGCGCGAAGGGTGCGGCAGGTGCCCTTAACTAAGTGACGGCAACTACGGCGGCGGAATCGACGGCGGCAGTGACCGCGATACTGGGTTTCGCAATCCCGTTTATGCAACTGCAAGCGAGTGCAGTCCGCGCCCGATGGGCTTCGACCGGCCGCAGGTTGCAAAACAGCGACACGTTCAACGACACACGTATGTTTGCAAACACGAAACCATAGATGGACGCATTTGTGGTTATAAATTAAGAGAAAACAATTAGCTAAACACATAAATCTTAACGTATACTTAGTGACATAACTACTAAGAACCTAATAATTAATATTCATGTGCCGATTCAACATTTGAGTTAGCATTTATTCATCATGCTACCCATTATATGATCCATGAGCCTTTAATGCCACTTTCTTTTATTATTTTTGGTACATTTATTCGGCCGAGTACGAGTGTGAATAAATAAATAGTAACGGGTAAATTTTGAGCAGAAATAAAACTAAGATCAGTATTTTATTTCACTTTTTTGCAGAATTTATTTCAGTACCTCGTCATTTTCATTAAAAAAAAGAAATAACGCCGAAAAGGCTTTAGAGCTCTTAATTATCGAGCTATTCAATTCAGAAGCACGGATCGAAAGGTTTAGAGCTTTATCTAGTCTTCACTATCATTATTTTTAAAATATTCTCCTTCCGATATTAACGCACCCACATTATATTAAACAACAGTTTTATGAATAATATTATCAACGTTCGGGCGATCATCTAAGCTAATACCAAAATTGAATGATAGATCCCTATAATCATGAACAACGAGTAAATCATACACACTACACTCACGTATTTTTCCCTGATGGGGTAGACAGAAGCGTTACGTATTTGGGTAATAAAGGGCAAGCCTATTGCCGTCAATCGCATACATATATTTCCAATAAACATATAATATCTGATTGACTGTCTCGGTGGTGCAGTGCTAGCATATGCGACTGCTGTGCTGAGGTCTTGGATTCGGACCAAATATTTGTTTCGGAGTTTGGGTGTTTTCTATGATAAAAGTATATAAGTATTCTATCAGTCAATCTAGCTTTCATAGTACAACTAAGAACTAGATGACGTTGTGTGTTA